TCAGGTGATTCCTCAAAGGTTGATTTTCCACTTAATTTGTGGGAGGAGCGTGACTGCATCGATATCCCTCAGAACTTTGGGGAGGTATTTGGTGTTTCTTGCTCCTATATTTATTCTTTTACTTAGGAGATTCACTTTTCTTTGTCGCAGTCGGTTATTTGAGTTTTCCTTGATACAACCTCTTGAATGGTGGTTCCTTGTGGAAGAGCATTGAGGAGGTTTTCTTCAAGGTGAAGTAACCTTTCCTCTAATCCTTGTTAATTCTACTACCAAATAATATTGTACTGTTGTTCAATAATTCGTTAGCACCTTGCAAATATTAACTCAGACCAATCGAAATCTGGGTAAGGCTTCAAGTTGCGACAATAGAGGTGGAATTTGAGATCCATTAAGAGGAAATAAGACAAATCCATCTATTTGAGGAGTGTGGACCAGATTTTGATGCAGATGAACCTATGTTCCAGATTTGTAGCAACGGTGATAACTTCTCGTGCAGTAGCAGAACGAGTAGCTTTGGATCCATCTATCACTTGGAAGTTTAGGAATTAAAGATTTAAAAATTTAGGAAATCAGAGTTGAAACGATGTTGGATTGGATCGAACGAGATGAATCTTCAAATTCGATTTTGAATGGTCTCGATTCGATGACGTGATAAGGTTATGAACTGGAGAATTGAAGTGCGAACATGAAATTGTGAAAAATGCGGGAATCAAGAGTTGGTTCTCACTGGCGACACCATTGTTCTGTATTGGAACTAGAAATGAAGTGAGGATCATAAGTAATGGTGGATATGAACTTTCGGCATAACGAAGAGGGGGATGGCCTGCAAGGTTAGCACTCTAACGCTCAAGTCAGTATGTGAGGGAGAAAAGTGAATTGAATCTTAGTTTGAAATTGAATACCTGAATTGACATCTTCTCTATATATAATAGAGATGGGATAACTAACTTTTTATTTGTCAGACGTGGATTGTGGAGAATCGTTGGATGCACTCGAAATTTTTATCCCTTGTTATCATCAATAAGATAATTCTCGTGTGCTAAAAAGAATATAGAAGGATTGTTACTCAATTAGAGTGATCAGTCAATACCAATATGGTCGATTCAGAACAAAACTCAAATTTTAAATTATATTGCATACGAAAGTGTTTTTCAATTTTTTTTTTATTTTCTCTTATTGAAGTAACTTAAAAACTATAAACTACAAAAATATTCAAAGAGAGACAAATAAAAAAATCTCTCCACTTTCTTTCTTAACATTAAAATCACTTTATTAAGTACTCTCCGCTCATTTTCTTTACGCGGATCACTTAATACAATAAAATTCTCGAATGTTTGCCTTTAACCTATTTAATAAATATAATACTTAGTTTAAGTCATTAAAATTAACCAAAAGTTACAAATATATTAACTTTATAATTTATAGGGATTAGAAAGAGATTATAAATATATTAACTTTACCTATTGAAAAGTTTCTTAATCCACAAATCACATGCTGCGCTTAACATGCCTTTAAAAGGAATTATAAATATATTAACTTTATAATTTGTTGGAATAGAAAAGTTAAAAGAAGAACTAAATAAAAATATTCTCCATTATCTATTTCTTATTTAAAAAGTTTAAGTCCCCGATCATATGTGTAGTGCAGCTAGACCTCACAAGTAGCCATTTTCATCTGTTCTAATGATGGTAATAGCTTATAAAAAAAGTAATGATGGTAATAATTATATAGAATAAAAAATAATGATAGTAAAATCCAAAAAGATGAGGAGCAATGAATGGGTCCCATGTTGGTCTAATCATTTGAACAAATGTTCCAACAAAGTTGTTTTTGTCAAGAAAGTGAAACCTGACTTATCGAGCTTATCAACAACTGTGTTTGATTTTCCTTTCTTTTTGTTTCGAATCATTGTGCTTTTCTTGTTTCTGTCCCTATCAATAAATAGTTAAAAAAGGTTTTGCAATTGAGCTATAAAGCACAGCTAAATCATGCTCATCTTGTCTTTCTTGTTTCCATTTTCTTATTAATAATGAAAGCAGCTAATCGATTGTTAATTACTAATCAATTACTTGAGTTTTTAAGTAATCAATTACATTACATTAAACAGTCATCAGAGAAAATTAAACAAGATAATGTTTTTCATTGACAACAAAATGTATTTTTAAAATAGCAATACCACCTTACACCATTTTCTTCTACCAATATCTATATTGTATATATTGTTTATTATATTTATACGGTATACAATATTATATATATATATATATATATATATATATATATATATATATATATATATATATATATATATATATATATATATATATATATATATATATATATATATATATATATATATATATATATATATATATATATATATGAATAGCAAAATAAATAGTATGTGAACAGTGCATGAACAATGCGTGAAAAGTATACATGAAACAGTACGCGTGAACAATGATTTTAACTAATAAAAAAAAATTGATTAATAAAATGTAAAAATTTAGTTAATAAAATGATAAAATTGATTAATAAACGTTCAAATATTAAAAATAATTTTTTTATGGTAAAATAAAATTGATTAAAGAAAAGTAAAAAGTTGGTTAATCAGATCATGAAATCAGTTAATAAAGGTTTAAATATTAAAAATAATTTTTTATAATAAAATATGAAAAATTGGTTAATAAAATTATAAAATTAGTTAATACATAATTTTATTTTGAGATTCTTTAATTAAAAAATATTATTATAATATTTTATTATTTACCACATTAATAATAGTAACATATAGTATAGATGCAGGAATTTTGTGTAAGAATATATTTTTGTTTTTAAGAACAACGGAAATATTAGTTTATTTAATATATGATAACTAATCATATAAATTGTGTTCTTATCCATTGTTTTCACTATTATTATATTTAAAAATAATAATAATAGGAAATACTTATGTGAAACGCTAATGAGTATTTTATAGGCACTCTTAAAGTGTTTAATAAGATAAGTTTTTTAGAAATACATGTATTCAATGTATCAGAAATTAAAATATTTAATTTTTCTATAGAATATTTTATTTAATTAGAATGCTTAAAGAGTGCCATTGAAATATTCGTTACATGACCCAAAACTTCTTTGAAAAATATGTTAACAGTAGAAAGATTTAGACATAAATGAATTTTTTTTCTTCCTATTTTAGTTTTTTATTTCAATGCGATCGTATAATAAAGAAATGGAAACCTCTTAAATTGTTTTAGCATTATGGGAAAGGTAGTCAACATGAAGAAATCTAATAGGATAATAGTACCACGTGGTATCTATTATAATTTAGATGTTATAAATATTGGGAAGAATAAACAAAGCACCCGTGGAAAAAAGGCTTCTTAAGTCGGTTGAAAATGACTTTTTAAGTCGGATTTGAAACTGACCTAAGAATTGTCGACATAAGAAATTTTAACTTTTTAAGTTGGATTTGCATCTGACTTAAGAAAATTTTATTAGGTCGGTTTAAGTAAGTCCGACTTAATAAGTTTAGGTTTTTAAAAAACCTTTATCCAATTTGTACCCGACTTAAGAACTTCTTTTCTTAAATCAAATATATTTAATCGACCTAACAAGTTTGGTTTTTTTTAATATCAATTTTTTTGAGATAGCTTATATATATATATATATATATATATATATATATATATATATATATATATATATATATATATATATATATATATATATATATATATATATATATATATATATATATATATATATATATATATATATATATATATATATATATATATATATATATATATATATATATATATATATATATATTTTAAGATTAACAACAACACAGTTCTGTATAGTTAATTCAAAATCCAAAAGTGTCAATTTATAAATGTTAAGCTCGTCGGAAACTATTTTTAAAATAATGACAACACTACACTATGTAACGCAATTACTTAGTATAATCCAATCAAATTCCTTTCGAGAATTGATAAATTATCCAATATACTATGTGAGTAAATACTATGTGAGTAAAATATATAAGCATTATTTACAAATTTTAATGCTATACAATATGCTATGTGAGTCAATAGTGTAAAAAGGCTTAAGACCTGCACCATCACCTATAACCATTATTACATTATTATTTTTCCCTTCCAACAACGATTCTTGTTTGTGTAGTAAAAGTAACAACCAAATACTATGCTGATAATAATAAAAAGTAACCCGATGACCAGCAACATTTAAATGTCATCATCTTTAACCATAAATTTCTAGTCGGACCGTTGTCTTCTGTCCCTAAAACATTTCCAGCATTGAGAGGTACAATTTCTTGAAACCTGAGCGAAATATAACGCAAATCATTTCAGATTACAGCAATTATTACACACATTGCAAATTAAATAATCAGAAACCTACTCAAGAACATATATATCGGCGGGAGGAGAAGTATGAAGCTAATCTTCAAGGTTCAAATTACTCGGAGGAGATCTTCCGGCTACATTCCAAGTTGCAACAAATATTCTGCATACAGAAGAAGAGATAAAAACTAAATATGATAACAAATTAACCGAAATTTCATAACAACAACTACGTAAAACGAATCATGCATACCTATATTTATTCACATCTGTAACATGACCTAGCAAGTGTTACAACACTTCAACAATACAGCTATATTTCGACATAGTCGAACACTAGCTTTTTACAAAAACAATGAATTACAACTTCTAACAGATTTCAAAATTAATCGTACAATTTATAAATAAATAAATAAATTGTAAAAATAACTTTTAAAAATACAAAGAAAATAAATTTATTTTTTAAAAACTAAAACAAACACCTCCTTAAACTAAGTCAAAAATTCTTCTTATTATTGACAACATTACTGTCCATAGCTCTAAAATTCATCAACCACTACCAGGAAAAGTATATAAACATGAGCTACTTTCAACAACTGTCTAGACCTATTTATACAATTCAAGTATGTTAAATTATTGCTCAAAGCATGAACCTGGTCCAGCAGGAGGAGTTCTAGCATAAGAATTCGTGACAGGAGCAGCTGGAACCCCTCTTCTATTCAACAGACATCTGAAGTATTGCAGTCGCGACAATGGAGTCAAGTCACCATTTCTGCCTGTAGTAAATTGTATCGGACTCCACAAACGCTCTGTTCGAAACATGCAATTAATTGTTAATTTTTAATATTAAAGATTTAAGGTAGGCATGTCTGACACCAACAGGACATTGACACGTGTGGTTACATATAACCCTAAGTTATTATGTGCCTACATGTCAATGGTATCAGTGTTGTGTCAGGGTCTATGTCGCTGTCAATACTTTTGAATATATACAGCTAAATTAACTATAAGAGGGAATGAAACTCAACTTTACAAGATTTATTGTAATTAAATATAATGCAGGAATGTAAAACTTCTTTGGATTAGTAAGACGACTAACCTGCTGCTGTTGCAGCTCGAGGCCATATTGTTTGCTGAAAATCTGATGTATCAGCTACCTCAGCCCACATGAAAACTTCTCCTCCGAGCACAAGTTTTTGTTAAGAAGCTTCATGTATTCCTTCTAGTGGGTCGGTGTTATATACAACATCCCAAGGTACATCTAAATGGTCAAGATACCATACATGCTGGTTACTGAAAATACACCTGAAGCCTTTTGTAACAACCTTCGGGCAAACACCAGAGCTCCACCTATAGAAATGATTCAAATACTTAGGACTGAGTCTTTTGAGCGTCGGGCCAAAATAAAACTACATGACTAGATGGACAAGAGCTCACCAGTTATGAATTACTGTTTGTGGATGGAGCTTTGTGGGAAACGCATTGAAGGTTTCTTCCCTAATAAGTTACATAAAAGGTTGCATCTTAATAATATGGAAAATAATAAATTGAAGTACAAAAGACAAAACATGTAATATATACTTATATTTATTATACCAGTTCACAGGAGTCCAGTTTTTCGAAAGAGCCATGTCTTGGGCCTTCAGTACAAAATATTCGTAAGCATCCTTAGCAGTCATGTTGTGATTCTGAAGCCTGCATTATAGATAAAGTCACGTCTGAATATTATGCTTGATGCATGACAATAATTAAATTCAGTGATTTTGACAGTTAGTTACCGGAGGTGGGAAGAGGAGTATCGCGTTTGAGAAGATCGGTAATGTACTGATCCTTGCGCGTAGAAAGTGGCGGTGGTGGTGGTGGTGTGGTGAGAGGAAGAGGTTGCGATTTAGGAGTGTTAGGGTTATAAGGGAGTCTTTGTTGTGTGTCATATGCGGCTTTTACTACTTTGAATTTTGAAGAACATGGAAGTGACCATGATAATGAAGAAGATAAACCTTGCATTCTTCGTTCCGTTATGGTTCGTCTTCCGAACAACTCCTTCATCCATATACCCGATGAAGAAAATCATAACTGTTAACGTTTAATCGTGAACACGAGAAATGCGAAACGGAAAATCGAAAATCGTGAGAATGGAGAAAGTGGAAGAAGGAGAAGGTAGAAAGAAAGAAAATGTAATATGAAAGCATGAATCGAAGCTCCCAGATTGAACCGGAAAGAAGATACAGCGTGGTTGAACATCTTTTAGGGTTTGGCTTTAATATGAAAGAAATCATTTTAATTTTATAAATAGTTTTCAACATAAATTATATTATAATTGTTTTATTTCACTAAAATGTATTAAGTAGGAATCGAACCGGGGTTTTGTAAGAACCTCTTAGGTCAGGTAATAAACATGTGACTTAATAAATAAACTTGTTAAGTCATTTCGGTAAAAGAACCGACTTAAGAAATTTAATGTAAATTACATTTTTTTTATTTAATCTTTGTTAGGTCGGTTAAACATAGACACGACATAACAAAATTTCAAATATTTACGGATTTGCCACCGTGTGGCTTCTTAAGTCGGGTTATTGATGAACTGACTTAAAAACCTCTGCTAAAAAAGTATTTTTACACTAGTGAAGTATAGAGAAAAAAGAGGAATACAATCACAACATAATAATATAACGTGAAAAATTCTAAAATCAAAGAAAAATTCACAGTCGTTGTCAATAAACAACAAAAAAATACCACTATCTAAAAATTATTACAACACATAATAATCCCTCAACTAACTCAAATTCCCAATACACCAACATCTTCTAAAACAAATATTTAACTACATATAACAACATTCTAATACAAGAGTAAAAGAGAACAAAGAAAGTCAAATACAAGTTTAAAGTAATTTTGACTGATGCATTTTAAAATGTAGACTCCCTCTTCCTTCACAAAACTAAGTGATGTAAGACTTCAAAGAACTTGTATCCTATATATAGCCTTAGATTCTCCCTTCATTTACAAAACTAAGCGATGTAAGATTTTTTCAACATGTATATTTTCAACCAACCCCAAGAATATCCATCTTAATTGAAAATAATACACTAAATTTGATTATCTTCACCAACAACCATACTCCACTATAAAGAGTATCAACTTGTATATTTTACACCCATCTCAACAATCTCCACTAGTACATAAACTTTCGCTGTCTTCACCAACAATCATATTCCACCATAAAAGTATAGTCACTTGAAGCTACACTACTCCAAAAATTTTCACATTGTCTTCATCGACAATCATAAATTTAAAAACTATCATTCTCTCTCATGAATAATATATTTCATTTGAAGATAAACTACTTCAAGAATTTTACATTTTCATCATCGACAATCATATACTTTATCATGAAGAATAAATTTTATTTGAAGTTAAACCACTCCAAAAATTTCACATGTAAAAATTTAAGTTAAAAACTTATGGTGCAACCTCCTTGTTGGCAGGAAGCTCTTAAACCATCGACATAATCTTGCACTTTATGTAATCTCGATTGTATCAACACATCTTTGACTTGAACTTTCCACAAGATAAAAAAAATTCTTCCATCAATTTTCTCTCACCCAAACTGCACAACAGAATTTGTGACTGCAGCTCAACAACTCTTTCATAACACTACCATTCTTTTCTGATGTGGAAGATCAGACAAAAGTGTAACCACATAGCATACTAAAAACATTTATCCCTGAATTGAATCAAAAGCTTTAATATCAGTTTTTGGGAAAAAAACAAACAAAGCATATAGAAAAAAGAGGAACACAATCACAATATAAGAACATGAGCCGAGAAAAAACCACGGTCATTGTCAATAGAAAACCAGAGAATAACAATATGTGAAAATTATTACAACACATAATATACGCTCAACTAACTCAAGCCCCCAATGCACCTACACCCTCCAAAACAAATATTTAACTACATCTTACAACACTCTAATACAACAGTATAAGAGAACAAAGAAAGTCAAATACAAGCTTAAAGTGTTTTTGAATTGTGCATCTTGGAATGAAGAACTTGAATCTTATATACAACCTTGAACTACCTCTTTCTTCACAAACCTATGCGATGCGGAAATTCAAAGAACTTATATTATATATATAGCATTGGACTCTCTCTTCATTCATAAAACTAAGCGATGTGAGACTTATTTAACATTATTTTCAATATTCTCAACAATCTCCACCTTGATTGAAAATAATATATTAATTTTCATTATCTTCACCGACAGGTATATTACACCATAACGAATATCAACATGTATATTTTCAACCGATCTCATGAGAAATTTTTTTATGTGTTTTTAAAAATGAAGAATGAGATTGTGTGTCCTCTTTGCCTAGTTTGTTGAAGAGGTGAAGGTATGGAGTTAAATGTCCCATTGCAAATCATGGAAACATTGTTATGTTCAAGGGAGAAAGAGCATCTGAACCAGGGACACACACCTATAAAAATACTAATTAATTATAAACAAACATAAAAGATACAGAAAAATAATTATAATGTGTTGTCTTTAGCTGAACTAACCATTACAACGTGTTGTTTAGTACTGGTAGAATAAAGCATGCAAAATTGATCGATATTTTTCATTTGCAGATATTAAATATTTGATGCAAATATTTGTGAATATTTGTAGTGGGTTAGATGGTAAATGCTTTCTATTTTCTTAAAGGAGTTGCGAGTTCAAAGCCCACTTGTTACACAATATTTATTTTGGTACAAATAGTGTGACGTGGTGCCACATATATAATGTCATGTATACATAAATTTTAAGAGTGGTATTTTAAATTTATAATACGTTGTATAGAAATATGATTCACAATCCCTCTTTTATAGTGTGGTTTTAGAGTGTTTAGGCCATAGTACTTCCTATCATAAGACATATATATTGAGTTATCTAAGCTCTCGTACTTTAGTTTGACGTTAAATGAAATAGACATGGACGTAGACCAGAACATTGTCCATTGAGTCGCAACAGGAGGAGTCAGGTTGTGACTTGTTCGAATTTTCTTCAAGTCAAATAGCTTTCTATGGTAATGGATACAACTATGATATTTGGTGGGGGTCCTAAGTAGGTAACTTCAGTAAAAGATTATTGTCAACAAGTAAGCGTTGTTGGGATGGAATCAATAACAAAAATATTGGTGCTCGTCTCATTAAGTGACACTCTTCGATTTCAAATTAAAAAATTCTTTGATTTTTTAAAGCCGGTTGAAGATATTTCTTAAGGGCACACTCTTGAATAAATTGTAAGGAATTACACACTTGATACTACTATGTGGCACTATGGGTGAAAATAGGTTTGGCCGACCGACAAATGCCTACGACCTAGCCTACTTCGGGCTCAGGCCATGCAAAACTCTTTTTTAAATAGAGAAAGCTTACGATTTTTAAAATTCTATTAAGAGAAATAGAGTAGGACAGAAGTCATAAAAAATCTTTTAAACCTACTAGGCCAGCATACTAAGTAAATATAAATAGTGTTTTTGTATTATTGTTATTATTATATTAGATTTTCTACTATCAATTAATTTTTTAATTTTTTTCATTAATTAATATTAATTGTTTTCTTATTTAAATTCATTATTATAAACTATAATAGAAATGACATTGTGTATATGTTTGTATTGTAAAAGTTCATGTATAATATTAAAGCGGACGTTAATTTCATTGAAATATTAATTTGTTAGTTTATTTAAATATAGATTAAACTACTTATTTAAGTATTTTTGTAAGAAATATAATTTTAATTAGGCTAACAAGCTAAATCAGGATTTTAAAAAAGGTTAGATTTAGACCCTAAACTTAAACGATAGACCGCAAGACATACTTAAGCCTTGAAATTTTTGACAGTTCAAACTTAGGACTTGCAAAATCTAACTCGGTCCAACCTATTCTCACCCTTATGCGGTGCTTGTTCATTGATCCTTTAACAACCCTTTGAATCTTTGTGTGTTAGTTGTTGGATTTAACCCATCAACTTTCTCCATCTCAGTTGTTTGGCCTATATATAAATGATTTATTCTTCGTTTCTTTCTTTATATTTCTTAGAATTGTCTGCCTTTTGAGCTTCTTTTCTCAATCTTCCATATTTATCCTGCTTTCTTATTGTTTAAATAAGTTTTATAAAAGTTTAGACATCATTACTATTCTTGTTTTAAACTTTTTCTCAAGTTACTTTGTTATCTCCATCAAAGTGAGTTTCCACCCGTTTCTTTAACTTTATTTTACTGATTTTATGAGTTTTTAATGTGTGTGTAAGTGATGGTAACTTCTACTAAAGTGGATGCAGTTCTTTCATGGACGGAGAAATAACTTTCTCATGTGGTAGCACTTCAGGTGTTGCTTATATCCCCCTCCCCTAATTTTTTTTTATTTATTCTAAGGGATTTATATAATGAAGTGATTTGAAAAAATCATCCTTCTCATGTGACATATCATGTTCTTTTGCTCTATAATGAAAAGTGAAAGTGTAGGTATATGACCATGTCATTTCCTTTAACTTACCCTTCTATCTCTTTACACACACACCACACACACATATATATATATATATATATATATATATATATATATATATATATATATATATATATATATATATATATATATATATATATATATATATATATATATATATATATATATATATATATATATATATATATATATATATATATATATATATATATATATATATATATATATATATATATATATATATATATATATATATATATATATTAGTTATGGATAAGGTCGTTTGTATCCTTCGTGAAGAAAAATAGTAAGTTTGACAATTGAATTAGTAAGCATGTATGACCATCTTGATTATTTTAGGATATCATCCATTTATTATGAACTTATTGAGTGACTTCCTTTCACCCCCTTCTTAGAAATGGGGAAATCTTTAGAGAGGGTTTGGGGAATTCTTGCATTTGATTATTGTATTACAGGATATGGTATTA